TAGTAGGTGAGGACAAGCTAGGTAGGACAAGATGAAAGCACAAGACGAAGGAATCAGCAATTACAGTATTTATAACAATAAGGATCATTTTTGGAAAACAGTGGCACTATGATTACAGGGAATGCCTGGCCACCATCTCACAATAGCAAAATGAAATAATACATTTCTATTGCCTTTATTTTTATCCTCCAGCGATACTGGTAAATATGGGTTTTTTAAAAAAGAAATTTTATGCAACATCGTCAATAGCAAAGATTTATATGAAGGTTTTTGTTTGTATTAAACTGGTTGCTCTAATTTTAGTAAGCTTAGAATTTCTAGAATCAAGGCAAGATGTCTCCAGCTTAAATATGCCTGTCTTCTTACTATTTACCCTTCAGTGGCATTTGGTTGCATTTCTTCATGCTTTATGGAATTCCATTCTACTTAAAAATGTTCTCTGTGTTTGTAGTTTTACATCAGTTCTTTGAAATTGCTTGTGATTAAATAGATCTTAATGTGTATCTGGAAGTTTTGTATTTTAATTATATTTTAAACTCAACATGACTCAGAATAACTATGAACATTCCTGGTGATCTCTTGGATATATTCATGTAATATTCTAGGCAACAGAAATGGCAATATATTCATTGCCTTTTTCAGGATGTTATCCCCCCTCCCCAATTTCCCAGTCTAATTTACATTTCCATTATTCCCTGGTAGTGTTCTGCCTAAATAAAACTAGGCCTAGATCAACTTTAGCTTAGCTTTAGGCCCACCATCCTACTTTTTCTTTCTTTTTTAACCTTATTTGGAAACAAATAATACTTAATGAGGCATAATTGTATAACTCTAATAATATATGCTTTTTTGGGGGGGTGGAGATGTATGAATTTCTTCTTGAGGAATTCTTTGGATAAATGTAACATAGTTACTTTTGATATACAGTGCAATGCTCCTGCAATATATCTATTCTACTAATACAATCTACTCTGGAATAACAATTTCATTGTTTTTCATTATTCTACCAGATTTCTCATTTGTCTGCTGTATCTATATTATTTTATTTGCAGACACTCAATAATTATTGGTTTATAAGCCCTATCCATCGGCTTATTTGTACAAATAACTGCTACATGGTGTGTCTACTTATTGTTCATGCAAGTAGACTGCTTGAGGGCATTTATTTGTGTGAATGAATTAGCAGATATATTACTGAAGAATCTCTGTTTTGCTGTTTTGGCATTTGCATACAATACTCTTTTGTCCCTGCTTTTGTTTGTTTAACTATTCCTTATCTGAAAAGAAATATTTCTATGTTTTTAGCATTTGCCAATGTCATATGCAGTACATTGGTTTTTCTAGCTGACCAAAATTAATCTCATTTTTTCTGATCCATCCATGCCTTAATTTCTAAAGCTTTTCTCCAGTTTAGAATATGGAAATAGAAAGGAGAAATTCTTATTTCATCTTTTTAAATATGATGGAGAGAAATAGACTTGCCACGCGCTGCATCTTAGGACACTGTATCTGGGAAATACACTGGGAACTTTAAGATGCATAGTCTTCAACTTCCAGAATTCCTGAGCCAACAGGCATTTTGAAATCGCCAAGGATGAGAAACATTGCCTTAGGACAGTGGTGGGCAACTATGGCCCCTTTAAGTTCTGTGGATTTCAACTCCCAGAATTCCTGAACCAGCATGGAGTTGAAGTCTACAGATTTTAAGGGGCCATAGTTCTCCACCTCTGCCTTAGGAGGTACTGGTGGTCATGGAACATCCATCAGATTTGGGATTACATTTGCTTACTTTTGTGTCTCAAACAGCTTATAGACAAGTATTGCCTTCTCTTGGAACACCTATAAATTTTTTGAGACAAGTTATATATCTCCGTTTTTATTTCTATATTTTGTATCTCTATTTCTTTCTATCTCCTTGGCTTGGAGCTGGGGACAGAAAGCAGAAAAGAATATTTGCCAGTAGGTGTTTGGAAGTCAGATTCCTTGTTAGGTTCTGAGGACATGTCTACATTTCTTCCATTCTAGCTGAGGATGAGACTTTTTATGGGCCTATATTGACATACAATCAACTGTTAAACCAATTTCCCAACTTTGACTAATGTGTAATTGGAGATTTGTTCCTCACAGTAAGATAAAAATAATAACAAAAACAATACACACAATTACTAAACTAAAAGGTAGAAATTAGAGACAAAAATAGTGCCAAGATTAGAAAGGAATACAAATACAAAGAGAAGATTTGAAGAAGAAGAAAATGAGAGTAAATAAAATAAGAGATCAAGAAAGAATAAAAACCGAAGGGGCAGTCTTAAAAAAAATAGAATGTTTTCCAACCAATCTACTATCATCAGAACAAAACGACAATTCATGGCAACAGTGTCTAGGTCTGCCATGTCACCCTGGCAGGATTTTACATAGTATTTTGTTAGTCTTTTTTGTTTTTTTCTTAATGCAGGCATTATTCTTTTTAACAATTTGTGTTTATACGTAACATTGACTAATATGTAACATTGACTAATGTACACTACTGAAAACATTAAAAAATATCTATGGTTTACATTTTATAGTACAAGAATTGAAGTAGATGATGGGGGGAAGTAGGTAAAGAGACCTAACAAGTAATAAATTATAATTAGAAACTTCAGAAAGCTGAATATGTAAAAATCAATACAATAGTGTGGAAATTAGAGGTGGAATGAACAAGAAATGAATAGAAGCAGGACCTAAGACGTAGAAATACCTCATGAGAAAGAGAAATGGTTCCTTCGGCCTCTTTGGCAAAGTAGGCAATCAACAGGCTCAGTATTTCTATCAAGATCTTGGAGGTAGTAGAGCTGTAGATCTTTGCAGTGCTGTTGTCTGATGGATAGATCCCTCACATATAAAGCATTCTTCTTCTCAAAATGTCTGATAAGGATGCCATATGCCCAGTTGCTTCTTTTCTTAAAAGATTTAAGCACTTACCCTTCTTTTCTGATAGTAGGGCAAAACTGGAGTTATCCTAGCATCTGGCTGATGGGAAAATTATAAGTTTAGCTAGTACCCTAGTTCTTCTTGAAGCATCGTTCCCTAGATGAAAATCCTTATGTTGTTCTGGTCTTGTAAAACTTTGAATCTGTTTTGTGAAATATCTTCTTAGCTGTTGAATGAATATTGAGCATCAAATCACATTTTCTAACTGAACATATGGTCTTTCTAACTGATCTTTATTGAGAGGAAACTGTAGTTCTTTTGTGGAACTAAAATTATTTAGCACAAAAATTGTCAGACTCCTTACAAAAACTGTAGTTTCTGCAGTTCTTTGAAGGTAGGAGAACTCATAAGAGTTAAAGCAACGTAATAGTTAATAATCCCACATCAATTCAATTTTAGATTACTTATCACTTTTTTATGCTAATTCCCATATGGAGAGAGAGAGAATTTTGAGCATTTTGTGTTCAAAACATTTTGAACATCTGAACATTTTATTTGGTTAGTAAGTATATGCATTTCAGGGAAACATGTTTAAAATGGATACCTTAAACTTCACAGAGACCAAAACAATTGAAAGATAAGCAAAGATTCAATATGTAACTTCCTGTAGCTGATCTGAGTCTCCAATAGCTGTGTCCTGAGTTAGGTTTACAGTTGTAATAATCTTTAATATAGTAAATTTTACGTTCAGAATAATGTCAGGATGTTTAAGCTATGCTCTCTTGCTCTTCCACTTCTTTCTATTTTTCTTGCCTTTCAGTTGCTTCAGCTCTTGATTAATTCCTTTGTTGCATAAATAATAGCAAGGCTGGAACAAATTGAACAATATTAAAGCTAAACAAGCAAGTGGATATCTGAATAATAGAGAATAAGAATTAATGATTGTTTGGGGGAATTTATTTTCCTAATCATGATCTGGTGGTGAAGGTCTAACACACTCCTTCTTTTCCAAACACATTGTTTTGTTCATAGTATTCTGTTGTCTTCAGCCCAAACAGTTGTTCTTGCAACCCAAGACAATTATTTCTGGCGTAAAGGATTGATTGCTGTTGCTTTTATTGAGTTAGCTGAGTTTTCTGTCTGGGAAGTAAAAAGGATATTGAATTCCAGTTATAATCCTTTAATTTAGATAAAATAAACCCTCACTTTGACCTATCTCCGCGATGGCAAACCTATGGCACGCGTGCCACAAGTGGCATGAATAGCCATATCGGTGGGCATGCGTGCTCAGCTCCGGCATGCATGCATATGCCGGCCAGCTGATTTTCGGATCTTCCCCACCAGAAGTAGGGAAACAGGCTGTTTCCTGCCTCCAGAGGGCCTGGGGGGTGGGATTGGGGAAGGTCTGTGTTCCTCTCTCCTCAGGCTCCAGAGCCTTTCTAGGAGCTTGGGGAGGGTGAAAACGGCCTTCCCCACCCCCGGAGGCCCTCTGGAGGCCAGAAACGGACTGTTTGCCAACTTCCAATGGGACCGGAAAGCCTGTTTTTTGCTCTCCCCAGCCTCCAGAGCCTTTCTAGGAGCTTGGGGAGGGCAAAAACGGCCTTCCCTACCCCCAGAGGCCCTCCGGAGGCTGGAAACAGCTTGTTTGCCAACTTCCAGGAAGTTGGCAAAGAGACGTTTCCGGCCTCCGGGGGGAGGCTGTTTTTGCTCTCCCCAAGCTCCTAGAAAGGCTCTGGAGGCTGGGGAGAGCAAAAAAAGGGCCTACCGCACCCACCGTGCCATCACGTGCCAGGAGCGGAATTCAGTGGGGGGGATCACACACGGGGGTGGGACACATAGAATTATGGGTGTGGGCACGCATGCGCGCGACCCCCCCTTCCCCCCTCCTGGCACACGATGGCAAAAAAGTTAGCCATCACTGACTGATTAGTCCATCTAGAATTCTTGCTGTTTAAGGCACATATTATTTCAAGCCTGCATGCAGTTTTTAGTTTATTTTTAGAGGAGGGAAAAGGAAATAGGAAAAATCTATGCTTAATTCACTAGAAAGCAAATAATTTTATTCTGTTTCTGATCTTCATTTATAGCACCAGCAACAAGTGGTGCAGGCTGTGGAACGTGCCAAGCAAGTGACCATGGCAGAACTGAACGCAATCATTGGGGTATGTGGTCTTTCCATTTTAGTCTTTTAAAAACTAGCTCACATTCCTTTTTTTTCCCCCCCAAACAATGTTTTTGTTGTTAGTCCTCCTAGATAATAGTAGTAATAATAATAACACACTGGGAACCATTGGACTTTATAATTTGGTTATATTGCACTGCTGCACTTGCAACAAATTGGCCTTTTGTTCAAATATAGCTTGGACAGTGGAGACTTCCTAATTTCCACTTTGCAATCAGGTCTGCCATTGACCATGACTCACTTCATTTCCTCAAGCTGCACACTATAAAGGAGTATAAATTCAGAAAATGATTATTAATTTGATATTGACCTACAACTCCGAGGTTGTTGGCTAGTTGTATATATAAGGATATACATCTACGTTTCCTATGTAAGCCAAGATTTTTATGCAGTCCTACATATATATATATGTATGTATATTATATATGTATATATATATATATATAACCTTCATTTACCCAAGGTATCCACGTTCATGAGCAGTTTACAGCATCAGTTGTGATAGCAATCTAGAATGCAGCAATGTGAACATGGAGAGGCATCCACAGTGGAAAATCGTGTATAAGATAAGAGGATTTGCAGAAGCCTTGTGTCTCTCATGTTCTGCATTTAATCATCCATTTATTTTTTCAAATTGTAATCTATTGCTCAAGCCAAAACTCTCAGGGTGGCTAACTGTAAAAATTCCATGTCAAAGCATGATAAAACATTAATGCAAGACAACATCTCCTAAGAGGAACAAACTATCAGCTACAGCAAATGCATCTGTGTATTTTGGCCTTCGGATCAGACTATTTTTTTCTTTGCCCGCACAAGTTGTTTATGGTTGTGGATGCCTTTAGTGAATGAAGAAAAAAGTCCAAAAATAACATCTGTGGAGGATCTTTAATGCATTTCAGACAAGGTTCCCCAAACATGTCATATTCTGTGTGTCTAACAGTTTTCACAAGGTGCATTAAACACACACAGAGGAAGAATTAGAACATGGACCTTAGCAGGAAGAGTTTGATGTGCCAAAAAACCCTAGGGCAATGATTCTAAGCCCATTAGTCTGTAAATGGTTGGGCTGCCTTATCAGGATGTTACAGGAAAGCATATTGCAACTTCAAATTGTATTCTTTTATTTATCTGGAATCATACAATTAAGTATTTTAACTTATCCCCCATTATAATGAGGCCTTGATGGCCTCTTGTAATTTGGCATGATAGCAGTCTTTCTGTATAAGTGGGTTACATTGCAGTAAAATAATTATATTTTGAACTGTTTAGCCATATCTAGGGAGCTTTGGATGGGAGACTGTGTATGTCTCTCTCTTTTCCTCTCCCCACCCCGTGTGTGTGTGTGTGTGTGTGTGTGTGTGTGTGTGTGTGTGTGTGTGAGAGAGAGAGAGAGAGAGAGAGAGAGAGAGAGAGAGAGAGAGAGAGGGCGGGCGAGCACACTTTCTTGCAATTTCAGCTACTTGCATTTGAAAATTACATCCAAATCACCGGCATGCAGTTTGTTGGCGAAAGGGCCACATCTAATTTTATGCAACAGGTTGAAAGTTGCACTCCTAAAATGGACAAAAAAAGTGCCTGTTTTGTGGGAAGTGAGACGTTTAAAGAGTAAAAAGGGTGTCTTAAACATTTGAAAATCTTAAAACATCTATTTTGTTCCTTTAAAAAGGCCAAACCTTTGGGCCCTACCCATTGTGGAAGGATTCTAGGGGTCCCTAAAGAGGATCTTGAAGGACTGTATAACTGCTAGAGCAGTGATGGCCATCGCATGCCAAAAGTGGGGGGAGTGCGGGGGGTGGGTCACGCGCGCGCATGCCTATACCCATAAATGTGCCCTGTCCCCCCGCGCATGCACACATGACCCTCCCGCACTCCCCCCGCTTTTGGCACGCGATGACACGATGGGCCTGGTAGGCCCGTTTTTCACACTCCCCAGGCTCCAGAGGCTTTTTAGGAGCCTGGGGAGGGCAAAAATGGCCTTCCTCACCTCCCCAGAGGCTGGAAACAAACTGTTTCCCGACTTCCAGTGGGCCCAAAAGGCCTGAAAATTAGCTGGCCGGTGCGTGCATGTGCGCTGCAGCTGAGGTAGGGCAACACTCGCGTGCCCACCAATATGGCTCTACCTGCCACCTGTGGCACGTATGCCATAGGTTCGCCATCACAGTCCTAGAGGTTGAGAAGACTTACATAGTATGTTCAATACAGCACAAAAAGCTACAGATCCCAGGGGGAAATCAGTTTATACAGGACATTGTTCAGTTGTAAGCAGAACTTTAGCAACAACTTGGAACTGTCACCCCCATGGAGTAGTATTTGAGCATTTCATTGAAAATCATCAGTTTTCCTCTGAAGTAAGTGGTCTTCAGAACTGACCTATCATGCACTATGATTCTTAGTGTCCATTTGCCATTATGTTTATATTGACTTTTGATTGTTTAAGAACTGGCATGTTTAACTTTAGGATCAACTGGGATGAGATTTTTAACCTTATATATTAACTTTAATGTGAAATGTTATTATTCATATATGGCCAAAAAAGCTTTCTTCTCTATACGGAGCATGAGAAATATAGCATTTAGCTAATACAAAGAGTCCTTGCTTAATGGCCATTCATTTAGCAACTGTTCGAAGTTATGATGGCGCTGAAAAATATGACTTATGACCGGTTGTTATATTAATGATTGCTGCAGCATCCTCATGGTCATATGAATGCGATTTGGATGCTTGTCAACCATCACACATTTATAATGTTTCCCACAGTCATATGATTTCTATTTGCAGTCTTCCCAGCCAGCTTCTGATCAACAAAGTCAGTGAGGAAGCCAGCAGAAAGTCACAAGTCATGATCACATGATGTCTTGCTTAATGACTATGAGTGATTCTCTTAATAACTGGGCCTGCTGTAATATGTTCAACAGGGTGATCACATGATCACTTTGCTTTGGGATGGAGTTGCTGGTCCTAGTTAGAGTTATGAAGCAACGTTGAATGCCCCTTTATGGTTTCTTAGGGTTTTTATTTTCATTATATTGTGTGACTCACTAGTAACATTTTTTTTAAAAAAAAAAACCTTATTCAGAAGAATTATAAAATACAGGTGGGAAAAAAATCAGTAATAGTCCATGATTGATGTCTGTAATTATTCAGTTAGGGCTGGCTGTTTAAGCTAGCGTAATGAAGACCATAGCATTGTGCCTTTGTTTTTATCTTTTTCCTTTTCTGTACAGAATGTACAGAAAAGTCGCTCTTTTAGAAAATGCAGCATATCAAACACACTTTGAAATGCTAATTATTCCATTTACTTTCATTAAAATTCAAATTGTTGAGTGAAGATGTGGATAAGAGTTGGTGAATAATCAATCTGTTGTGAAGATATTCCTTCATTTATGCTTCTTACTTTTAACAAGAAAATAGGAGTGCTCGCTAATCATGGCCAACAGTACTGTAAAAGCGAGACTTGTTTTTCTTTAATAAGCTGTTTGGAGGGCTTTTTCCTATCCTTCTGACCACAAGAAAATATCAGCAGTCAATTAAAAAATATAAACGAGGGGGAAAATAACCCTTATATCCTCTGAAGTGCCCCTTAGAAAGAAGGGGTGAATCAGACAGAGTAAATTGTATATATAAAGTCATGAACAAGTTTTGCTGTATGTCTTTACATTCCAATAGGAAGACCAGAAGATGAATAATTTTCCAATTAGTTTTCGTTATCTAATAAAAACTACCCCTATCCAAATATTATTTAGATAAAATAAATTCTTAAATGTCATTTGTAATGTAATTCTTTTCAGCATGAAAAGTGCAAGCTTAGCTTCACTCTAATTTTTAGGCATTAAAATAACTGGACATTGTTTTAATCTGGGAGATTGTAGTGTATGATCTTGGATGTATATAGTTTGGTATGTTTTCATATGGAAATTATACTTTATAATCTGTTAGTATCTTCTGTAATAGAATCTATCTATTCTAGCGGATATCTCCAAAACTGATTTTAGAAATAGGTTTTAGATTCTCTAACTCTAAAAGGGTGTCTTCCATAACCTGCTGCCCTTCAAACTCCTCACTGTTATCTGAAAAATCATGGTAGTTGAAATCCAGCATATCTACTGGACTCAGAATTGGAGAAGACTTTCTACTTGGCCCATATATTTAAACCAAGAAAAAAAGAGCCCTAAAGGATAACTAATTATGGTATGAATTTTCCTAAATATCTATAACCAATGATATTCCATTTATCCCATTGCTTTGAGCGTATTTTCTTTTATCCGGGAAAACAAGACGTAAAAGATATAAATAATTAGAAGTGTGAGTTTGTTTTTTAAAAGTATAGTTCTATATATTAAAAATGTATGAAAGAAAGATACAGAACTCATCAAGAATTTGTTTAAAGGAATTCAATCCTGTTTGAATGCGCATACTATTGATCCTTCATAGTCTGATGTTAAATTTCATGAAACTCAATGAAACACCTTGTTAACTTTACAATATTCTCCCTTCATTGGTAAATGAAGCAAACCACTGATCCATGCTATTTAAATGTGGAATGCCAAAGTGAACTTGAAATATGGAGAGATGGGTTGTTCACTTGACAGTAAACTAGTTGTGTTTAATGGAATGAAACACTTATAATGACTTCTTTCTCAGGTTATGTTCTGTTGAAAATTACTGACAGATTGACACAAGTTAAATATTAGCTGTTCTTTCTTTTTTCTTTTTTTTATTTTGGGGGAAGAAAAATGATTGGAGGCTGGCTTTAAGATGAAGGCAACAATTATTGGTGAAAACATAGCAATTGTTATTACTGCAGAAGCTATTTTGCTCTATTGTCTGTAGAGTCACCAGGAATAGAACTCAACTTGAGGCAGTTTTCATGATCAGATTAGATGCGTAATATTAAGCGTTCCTCTTTTGTTTCTTCACATTTTCAGAACAGCTTATATATAATTACTTGGTTTTGATTTTTTCTTGATATAGAAGGATTAT